TATAAGAGGAGTCATTGTATCCTTTTTACCCAATATGTTTTCCAAATGTCTTTTTTAAAATTGTTACATTTTACAGTTTTTTTGTTTGCTTGTAAATCAGAGAGAAAGCTAATCTTCACACAAATCTGGCATTAAGTTGTTGAGATATCGTGTCTTAAAATTTAAAATTTTGGCATTAATTGAGACGTTATGACAGAGCAGAAAACCTTTTATTAATAAATTTTATGTCTTTCGAAAGTCCAATCAATATATCGTCATACCTTCATTCATCTCCGAGATATCTGGGTTTCGACTTTTTTTAATTTTGTGGCCTAGGCTATAAAAGCTCAATTGACTTTCTCCTATTTCGCATAAAAAGCATGTTAAAATAACAGGTCAAATGGCTAGTATGGCCTAACCGAACAGGAGGGGAATTCATATACAAAACAACGCACAATAAACCCAAAAAGACCATACATACATACATATGAATGTATGTATATATGTAAGTATAGAGTTAAAGGGCAATCACGGCCGACACTGTGGGTATGTTAAAAGGGAGACAATTTGCATCATTCAATTTCAGATAAGATAGTCCAAAATAGTAATACAAATCCCTTTTTCTAGGACGCTTTCATGTTGAGCAACCTCTTTTTTATCAAGATTTCCAAAATGTGACTTTTTCCGCCCTTAGCAATGAAAGTAAAATGTAGGTTATTAGCATTATAGACCTCTCTAGTTGGTCTTCAGATTTTGAAACATCTGACAAAATTCATTGTGTTCCAAATCTGAAAACCAAACCTATTTTATCCTTTCCACCGCAAACACTCTGCTGTAGGGTTTTAAAAACCAATTTCGTAGTAAATAAAATGAACAAAAAAATACTTGTGTGCCATAATAATGGCAACGTTGCGGAAGTCAAAATGGCAAACAAAAATAGCGAAAGGAAAAAAAATGAAATCAAAAATTGTTAAATGTTTTTGTGTGTATGGAGTAAGTATGAGTATTAAAAAATAATTTACCTTTTTTTCTTTTGTTATTGTTATTGTTGGTAATGTTTCTGATAAATAGACTAGGTACGTTGTTACTTACTGCTGCTGTTATTGCTATTTATGGTTAAACAAAAATTGTCGTTGAACAAAAGAGACATTAGACCTGGTCTTAAAAAAATAGTCGATAGTTGGATGGATTTCGTTCTTAAGTAGCCAAAATAGTGATTAGCCCCCACTGTGAGATGATAATGAAATTAAAAAATTAAAAGCTTTTTTTCTTTTCTTTTGTGTTGATCGGCATTAAGATCCCTGATCTCTTGATGCAAGATTTAAGATCAATCTAATTATCCCTATCGAAAAACAATTGAAACTACCCAGAAAAACTAGGCAATGGCTTCCAAATGAATTACTTACCTAACAACATACTTTTCAGTGACTACAACATATCGTCTGGATTACATAGAAGTAGTCTAATAAGGTCTTACTAATAATATGTTATATAAATACTTCCTAATTCATTAGTCATCTTGCGAGTAAAGATATAGAAACTGTTTACGTTTTTTCATGCGATTTACATGACAACTTTTTCTGATTACTTGTAATCGTTCGTGGTAAGTATTTGACTCCAATGACATCACCGTGTTAAAATAATGACTTAAAATTCTATTGTGTAAGCAAATTTTAGCATTTTAACTCCTTACATGGTAATGAAAGTTTTTGGTAAATATCACTGAGGACTAATCAATAAATTTAAAATTTATTGATTAGTCCGCTGACTAGTCTATGGACTAATATGTCGAATAGTATATTGTCTTATCTGTTGCTAATCTATTGACTAGCCTATTGAATAGTCGTTGGATTTGCCTATTGATTAGTATATTGATTAGTATATTGATTAGTATATTGATTAGTCTTTAAACTAGCTTTGGACTAGACTAGTTTTTTAACACGCATTTCAGAAATTAGAATGCATGTCAATTACATAAACTAGTCTATTGCCCAGTCTATGAAAAAGTCTGTTGGCTAGTATATTGACCAGTCTATAGACTAGTTCATTGGTTACACTGCTGAAAAGATTATTGATTAGTCTGCTGAATATTTTATGAACTAGTATGTTGAAAACTAACATGTTGCCTAATTTATGGACTAGTCTATTGATTATTGTGTGGACTAGTATATTGACTAATCCTTTGTATTATATGGTCTTGTCTGTTGACTAGTCTATTGATTAAACTCTTGACTATGGACTATCAACCTCTATTAACTATGGACTATCCTAGTCCATTGACTATGGGTTATCATAGTCTATTGACTATGGGCTATCCTAGTCTATTGACTTGACTTGCCTTTTAACTAATCTATGGATTAGTCTATTAGTCTATAAACTAGACTAGTGTATTAACATGCTGCTAGACTAAAGTCTACAATGGATTACAGTAGTTTTTTAATTAGTATTTATGTATATGAGCTAGTATTTTAACCAGCCGTTTTGGCTAGCTTTACAACTATGACATGGGGGTTCTGCGGTATTTTTCTTTACCGGAAAATCTACTATAGTACACAGAGGAAAAAGGAAATATACACGCCTGGTACCAAATTGACACCAACGAGATTATAATTTTTCAATAACATCCGCTGTCAAAGTATATGCATACGTACGACAAAACTATGTAATGTTGACAACGCAACGTTGTCAACATTGCAACAATTCGTTGTCGAAATCTAAATTTTATACACATTCGTTGTCTAAATGTTAACAAACGTTCGACAACGAATTGCTGCAATGTTGTCGACATTACATAGTGTTGACGTAAGTATGTATATACTTTGACAGCAGATGGTATTGAAAAATTATAAACAGTTTGGTGTCAATTTGGAACCAGGCTCTGTGTACTTGACTGATTGATCTGAAACTAACTATTACAAAACTAAAGAGCAATCGAACTACCGAGAAAATCCATCTTAAGCAAATTTATTTTTTTTAGTACCTAACTAATACTACTTCTGTTTTTAGCTTAAAGTCATTGTTTGCTGATTTTGCTCGGTTTTATGAAATTGAAACGGAAATACATAAACACACGTACTTAAGAGAAATGAAAGAAAAACAGGAAACTTATTGAAAATAAAATGTCGTAAGAAATTTGTTAAAAACAATAGCATTTTTACTAAAAGACATATACATATACATACGTTATATGAAGTTCTTGTAAACAGAGAACAGTTAAATTAAAAATGTGTTTCAGTTGGCAAGATTTCTTTAAGAATATTAATACATAGGAGGGGAAAACATAAAAGTTATTCGAAAATAATTTTGAAAAGAAAATAAAGAAATGCCTTATTAGACTGCCCTCTTAAACATATGTAGGTAAGTTAATATATGAGCATATGTTAGCTAGAAGTTAGGTGTGTCTGGTTTCGAATTCGTTTTTCAAACAAATTTAATAATAAGCAAAATGTTATATTTAAACTTAAGATATGGTTTATTTTTATCTTCTGTACTGTTTTTTTGGATAATTTAATTATACTACACTTCAAGTTTTTCCCTCAATTTTAAACTTGACACATGTAAATATTTGACAAGTAAGTGTTGATTGTGTAGATAATTTGACAGTTTTTTTATTTTCATATTCGTAGAGTATTCCACGAATTAGGGAATGTTTTTTGGTAAATGTAAAAATGTTTTAAGGATTTTCTAGTTTTAAGTATATGTTGTTTATCTTTTTATATTTCCATGGAAGTTAAGAGCAAATATTATAAATGCTTTAGAGAAAATAGAAAAGTTTAGGAAAAATCTTGTTAAAATACCTATGCAAATACATACCTAAGAAAAATTTTTACTTTATAAGAGCTGTTGATATTTTTAAGTGGAATTTAAATTTAATAATGTTTCGGCATTATTTGACTATTAAAAATTAAACCTATATGATATCAATTGGAATATAAGTTTTAAATGTTTGTATAGGAAAAATTTCGCAGGAAAATATTATATTATCATTATTGTTTTCTGAAAATATTTATAGAACATTTAGTTGAATTTTTAGATATTTAATTTACTACGAATTTTATATTTAAGTTTTTAAATATGTAGTTATGAATATTAAGAATGTTTTAGTTGACCCAAACTCATATTATTTGCATATCAGTATTAAATAAAACTCCTATATTATTTACATAACTATTCAATATTAAATTTACTTATTAGAAGTTAACAAGAATTTAATTTTCAAGCTAAGAAGGAAAAGTTGTTGAAAAGTTTTGCTATCAAATATCGTAAAGCTATCATTTTCTACCTTAATAATGAAACGATTATTTTTGTCATTTCTTATAAAAATCGTGAATATTCAAACATTAATTATAGCATGTTTCGAATCAGATCAAAACGATCACAATTTTTTGGAATTTTCCTAGAATCTCAAATATTCGAAAACCTTTAACTTTAGTTTTGATTTTTTTGTATTTCAAAAATTGTATGTTGATATGCAGGACAACAAATTTGTAACCCAGAGAAAATGTGTACTTTTCTACAAGATTTGTCTCAGAAATTCTCCATCACATCAAGAGATATCATGTCATAAATATTGAAAAATGCATTATTTGGTCATATTTTAAACCTTAAAAAAGTTGTATTTGCTGAGACAAATGAATACGAGTGTGACTATGATATCTTCAGCATACAAATCTTTAATCAGACATGCTTTCTAGAAGTTTGAAAATCACTAAAATCGGTTCAAAAATAACGAAGTTATGAGCAATATTCCGATAACAACATGATTTGTTCAGAATTTTGAATATATTTCGGATCAAGTCCATGCTCACCATATTCACCATTCATCTTATTTACCCTTAAGAAAAAAATATAACAGTACTTGAAAAGGTACTTATGAATTGTCCCAAAATTGAGGTGACCTACTTCGTTTAGCAGAGGCACACACTATATTATTTCCATCATGTCACAAAGCATAGACACAAACCTTTTATAACAATTATAACACTTATAATTCATACAATTTTTTAATTTTTTTCCTACAGCATATTCAACAGCTGCTTTATTGGCCATTGTCTTTGCTATACCATTTGGTATACGAATGTTGGTACACAAGGACCGAGGGCAATGGGAAGAATTTGGCCCAGCTTTCTATACAGCACATTTAGAACTATTTTTGGGTAACGGTTGTTTAGGTGAGTGAACAAACTAAATTTCCAACTAATGGTGAATAAATAAAATTATTCTTGAAATCGCGTTACAACAGGTGTAGGTGTTATGATGCTGTTAATACTAACCATAGAACGTTACGTGTCAGTGTGTCATCCTAGTTTTACACGACCCGTAATGGGTCCTCCAGGGTAATATACATATATTAAGAGAACATTATGTGATGTAATATTTGTTTATGTAAATATGAGAACTAATGATATTTGTTTATATTTTTGTTATAGACTCATTGTATTCCTAACCACAATGATAACTTTTGTTATCTACCTGCCGAGTGTGTTCCGTGGGGAACTTATTAAATGTGTTTTACAAACAGATGGACGTTTTGTTTATTTTCGTAGAGATAATAATGCATTTTTGAGAACAATATTTTATTCGGTAATAATTTTTTGAAATATTTTAAATAAGGAATTTTAATTGTTTAAAATTTTTCAGTAATTTTTTATTATTTAAACTTTGTATTAATATTTTTTTATTATTTCTTGTCTAGATCTATAAGGTTATGCTGGAAGTGCTATTTAAATTAATACCAACTGTTTTAATAGCTGGTTTGAATTTACGCATTATGATGGTTTATCGTCAAACTTGCGAGAAAAGACGTAAAATGACCTCGTCTAGAGCCTCATATATTAAGGATGCTGAAGAAAGAAGACTATTTTTATTGCTAGGTGAGCATCTGATTGACATAATAATGTTGTTAAATAATTAATATTAATTGTCAAATTTTAGGTAGTACATCTATATTATTTTTGGTGTGTGTCTCACCGATGGCAATTTTACACATGACAATTGCTTCGGAAGTTTTACCCAGTTTTTCATTTCAGGTGAGTTAATAGGGGGGATTTGCAAAATATTGAAAACAAAATAATTGCCACAAATTTACTCTGTGTAATGCAAAGTAAAATGAGTCGCTTTCATGAAGTCCCCAATTAATCCAATGCGGAAGTCAATCGTCACTTTATTGCCCCCATCTAGTTGTGACAATAGACACTTCTTTAACAAGTAGCTTTTTAATCGCCAGAACAGTGGTACATCTAACTGGCAGGTAAAATTAGTAGTTCTGGAATACCAATTCAAAAAGCAGAGAAAGTTTAATTTGAACATAAAGGTATGCATTGTAATCTACGATCTAGAAGTCGATTCTAATACATCGACAGAAGATATCGGATGAAAACAGTCGTCAAACGCTTATCTATTCAATGCTTTTGTGGCGGAGAAAATCATAGTTTTTGGATTGCTATAGGAAACTTAAATTGTTGTCTGAAGGTACCCTTAGTCTACTGGGACTATAAACTGGTGATGTCACTTCACTCCTCGGCTAGTCGTTGGTATGATCTGACATGGGGTCTAACCAGAGGACCACATAATCTGGTACTACGGGTGGCCAGTTGCCCGCAGGACTTGTCCTGGCCTTAGTGGCTGTGGTTTAAACCCAAATTCGCGGGAAGAGTGAGTTGCGGTTAAAGGACTGATGTAAAGTCAATATTTCGGGATAAGTTCGGTGCTGTTGCCGAAACAACAGATATCCCACAGATGAGTGACTGTGGGACTAAGCTTTGGAAATGAGTTGGTGTTGATTGTATATGGTACAGGATGATTGTGGGGTATGCGGGCCTCACCCACCCGTTTACCTAGAACAAGTGTGTCGTATGTTTTTCTCTTATGAATGTGTTGGATGCATGAATGAATGCATGAATGTGCTGGGTTGAATGATGATGGATGAAAGGTATCTCATACAAGTGATACCATAAAATTGTCCTTCCTTGTCCAGATATGTTCAGAGTAAACTCTGTTCATATCAGAATTACAAAGTCTCGGCTTATTTAATTGATTCGTACTTCGGTCTATCGGTTACGTCTCTAGATGCTGTTGCCGACTCAACAGAGGCCATCCCATCTGTGTGGTTGTAAACGGAATTCATGTTTTGCATATTAGAAGTTAAGCAACGGGAAAGCAATAGTCAGAGATTAGATAGCTCAAGTACTTAAGCGAAGTGCACGTATACTGGAGCGGAACTTCCATATACGTAAATTGTCACTTGCGTGTAACAAACACAATGAGGCGGTGGCGAGTTGTCACAAAGCACCACCGATAAATAGGCCAACATGACAGGTGTTCACTTAAAGCACTTCGACATTTCATGTCTCCAACACTGGAGTCTATAATCTGGTACCACTGTATCCAGGAGATCCTGGAATATCAGTTCCAGCCTGGTTGTTGGTGGTGGTTTAATTAAAAATCGCAGGTCGATTATACGGGATAAGTTCTGTGCTGTTTCCGAGACAACAAATAATCCACAGGTGAGAGACTGTTGGACTAAAAGTTAGCAATGAGTATGGATGTAGGGGTATGTGGGTCGGATGTTTTTCTCAATGAGTGTGTTGGATAAACGAGAAGTGTGCTGGGTTGAATAGTGATAATTGTAAGGTATTTTATACATCTATCACCATTAAATTGTTCTTCCTTGCCCGGATAGGTTTTACTCTGTTCATATCAGATTTACCACAGTGTGTTCTGTGAAAGTCAGATCAATACCTCTGCATATTTGATAGGTTTACCTAAATAATAGGAAACTGGAATTTTATCATGAAGCCAGCAAGCAACGTTAGCTTTCCTATTGGATAGTCTCATTCACTTTGAAGCAGTGTATATGAAGTCGAAAGAAAATATGCTTTTCCGGAAACCTTTCGGGTGATAATTTAGTGATGATTTCTCAGGCGAAAAAAAATTCATAGATATATCTCATACTTGTAGATGCAATTCAAATAGAACTTAATTATTTTCTTGCTTTTGAACCCTTCAAACGCTTATAACAAGAGACGTTTATGTTTATATTCACAATAAAATTAGCTTCTTCTTAAATACAAATACTTATTCCTCTTTTGCCCCTACGCCACTGTTCTAACAAAAAATAATGAAATTAACAACACCATTGTAGGTGTGCAAACATGTAAATCTATAATCGTTTTCATTTCCGTCTTTATACAGTTTAAATGGCCGCCTTTCCGCACACGAATACATACATATGAACACGAGAGCAAAAAGTGTAAATGAATTTTTGTCCAAAAATAAACAAGTTCGTGCTATTTTTGGAATAGTTACTGCTTGTTTGATTCTTTTTTGCTGCTACTCTACTACCTTTTCAATTATAATCATTGATGTAACCTTGTAACCTCTTAACCATTCTAGGTTTTTAGAGCATTGGCAAATCTATTGGAGTTGACCAATTATTCCATAACCTTTTACATCTACTGCTTGTTTAGTGAAGATTTTCGTAATACTCTAATGCGTACGATTAAATGGCCCTGGATTAAATCGCAATTGTGTCATCAGGTGGATGAGGTGAGTTAAGGAAACAAAATAAATATATTAAAATTTAAATTTATTATTTTACATTTATTTTCCTTAAGGTCTCTGCCAAGCAAACACCTCTTAATAATTTTGATAAATTAACTTTGCGTAATCATCATATAACCACCACATCGGGCGTATGCACCGGTATTGGCCGTTCCAGTAGCATTTGATGCAAATTTGTTCTAATACTCTAATTAGTTATATTAATTTAAGTTGAAGAAAATAAACTATTTTTTAAAATTCAATACTTATTAAATGCTAAATATAATATTAAAAAAAATACATGTAAAAACTAAATCTGTGTTCATTGTTACAAATTAATATGAAAAGAGTAAAAAAAGAAAATATTTTACAGTAATATTAAAAGAAAGTGAAAAAATGTTTATGTAAGAATACTTAATGAAAATATTTTGGGAATTTACAATTATTTATTAAAATAGCAAGAAAAATTAAAGAAAAACCAACCATATTAAGTATACTATTTATTAATAATTTTAAAAAGTACATTTTATAAAATGTACAAGAAAGAACGGTATGCAAATCGAATAATACTACTCAACAAAATCTTAATTTTTAAAAAACTATTTCAATGTTTTCATCTAGACTTATATAAACTAAGCTGGGGTGGAAATTCAGTCCAGCTCTGGTTCTTGTTCTGTTCTAGTTCTGTTCTAGTGCTGTTCTAGTTCTGTTCTGTTCTAGTTCTGTTCTAGTTCTGTTCTAGTTCTGTTCTAGTTCTGTTCTAGTTCTGTTCTAGTTCTGTTCTAGTTCTGTTCTAGTTCAGTTCTGTTCTAGTTCTAGTTCTGTTCTAGTTCTGTTCTAGTTCTGTTCTAGTTCTGTTCTAGTTCTGTTCTAGTTCTGTTCTAGTTCTGTTCTAGTTCTGTTCTAGTTCTGTTCTAGTTCTGTTCTAGTTCTGTTCTAGTTCTGTTCTAGTTCTGTTCTAGTTCTGTTCTAGTTCTGTTCTAGTTCTGTTCTAGTTCTGTTCTAGTTCTGTTCTAGTTCTGTTCTAGTTCTGTTCTAGTTCTGTTCTAGTTCTGTTCTAGTTCTGTTCTAGTTCTGTTCTGGTTCTGTCTAGTTCTGTTCTGTTCTAGTTCTGTTCTAGTTCTGTTCTAGTTCTGTTAGTTCTGTTCTAGTTCTGTTCTAGTTCTGTTCTAGTTCTGTTCTAGTTCTGTTCTAGTTCTGTTCTAGTTCTGTTCTAGTTCTGTTCTAGTTCTGTTCTAGTTCTGTTCTAGTTCTGTTCTAGTTCTGTTCTAGTTCTGTTCTAGTTCTGTTCTAGTTCTGTTCTAGTTCTGTTCTAGTTCTGTTCTAGTTCTGTTCTAGTTCTGTTCTAGTTCTGTTCTAGTTCTGTTCTAGTTCTGTTCTAGTTCTGTTCTAGTTCTGTTCTAGTTCTGTTCTAGTTCTGTTCTAGTTCTGTTCTAGTTCTGTTCTAGTTCTGTTCTAGTTCTGTTCTAGTTCTGTTCTAGTTCTGTTCTAGTTCTGTTCTAGTTCTGTTCTAGTTCTGTTCTAGTTCTGTTCTAGTTCTGTTCTAGTTCTGTTCTAGTTCTGTTCTAGTTCTGTTCTAGTTCTGTTCTAGTTCTGTTCTAGTTCTGTTCTAGTTCTGTTCTAGTTCTGTTCTAGTTCTGTTCTAGTTCTGTTCTAGTTCTGTTCTAGTTCTGTTCTAGTTCTGTTCTAGTTCTGTTCTAGTTCTGTTCTAGTTCTGTTCTAGTTCTGTTCTAGTTCTGTTCTAGTTCTGTTCTAGTTCTGTTCTAGTTCTGTTCTAGTTCTGTTCTAGTTCTGTTCTAGTTCTGTTCTAGTTCTGTTCTAGTTCTGTTCTAGTTCTGTTCTAGTTCTGTTCTGTTCTGTTCTAGTTCTGTTCTAGTTCTGTTCTAGTTCTCTTCTAGTTCTGTTCTAGTTCTGTTCTAGTTCTGTTCTAGTTCTGTTCTAGTTCTGTTCTAGTTCTGTTCTAGTTCTGTTCAAATTCTGTTCTAGCTCTAGTAACCAGAACCATAAAAATTGGTTGGTCAAGAAATTCTGTTGCAACATCTAATAAATTTTGCCGTGTAGAAGCTCCGCGACGATATTGTTGAGTAGTTATATTCAAATGTAAAATTTGCTCATGTATTTAATTAAATGTTTTTGTAAATTATATTTATATATACAAACAATATATAAAAATAATTAATTAATAAAAATAATAAAAAATAATAAATTGGTGTTTTATTATACATGTAAACATGTATAAAATGCAGTCAACAGATGCCTGAAATAAAACAATTTTTTGTTTGTGAACAAATATTTATGAAGAAAAATTAAAAAAATATGTACTTTATTAAGCAACCACTTTATTTAGTAAAAAAACAACTTGAAAAAATTTAAAAATATTTTTTTAGTAGTAAGAAAATAAAAACTGCATTTTCGTCTGACGAATATAAGATTAATTAAAACTTTTTATAGATTTTAAGTGTTGAATTTTTGTTGTTCAATTTTAGTTTATCACAATTTATCGTTTCAGGAATTTTAATTATTTCATTAATTACACATATACAATACACAGCACATTTCAAGTTATACATATTTTATTGTAACATTAACTGCCAAATTACTTATCTGATTAAATTTAATTAAGTTAACAGAAATATATGAAATTGTTTTTAAACCAAAGTTCGTTTTATTAGGTTTACTTTTTTAATTAAATACCAAATAACTGGTGTAATATGTAGTAGCGTTTGATTTGGCGTTTAAAATGGTTTTCGTTGAATAAAACTAAAAAGAACAAAACATGTTCTTGCAAAAAATAAAATAAAAATATGTTGTTCTAAATATATTAGAGAAATTAAATTGATCTTTAACTTCTAACATTCAGCATTTTACACTTGTTTTTTTTAATTTTCACTTAAATATGCATGCATGTTATTTGGTAAATCATATTATAAAATTTAAGTTGTTTTCTATAACCCACATTTTACAATAAAACAATTAACTTTAATAATAAATAATAACATACATACATAGTATTACTAAATATACCATTTACTTTATGCAAATTGTTAAAAAAATAATGAAAGTAAAACTGTTGAATAAAGTACCTATAGAAAAAACAATAATATTTGAAAATAAAACAAAGAATAAACAATAGTATTTAATTACCTACATAAATATATTATTAAATTTAAAACATAAATAAATAATAAAATTGAAATCCTAGCAAAAAAATCAAAAATATATTTAAAACTTAAGTGAAAATATTACCAATACCAGAAAAAAGCGTAAATATTTCTAAAAAAGAAAAGAAAATATTAAAAAATAAAACCAGCAGTAATAAAACCCAAGAATAAAATTCTGATAGATATTGCATGTGTTGATGCGAGGAAAACTTTTGAAGAGGACATCATTTGTATTAAATTTATTTTCACTTATTTGAATGACGTTTTTTCTATTTTCAGTTTAGTTCTAGTTCGAAGTCAGTTCAAGTTAATTTCTAGGTCGAAGTCTGTTCAAGTTCAGTTCTAGTTCAGTTCTAGTTCAGTTCTACTTCAGTTCTAGTTCAGTTCTAGTTCAGTTCTAGTTCAGTTCTAGTTCAGTTCTAGTTCAGTTCTAGTTCAGTTCTAGTTCAGTTCTGGTTCAGTTCTAGTTCAGTTCTAGTTCAGTTCTAGTTCAGTTCTAGTTCAGTTCTAGTTCAGTTCTAGTTCAGTTCTAGTTCAGTTCTAGTTCAGTTCTAGTTCAGTTCTAGTTCAGTTCTAGTTCAGTTCTAGTTCAGTTCTAGTTCAGTTCTAGTTCAGTTCTAGTTCAGTTCTAGTTCAGTTCTAGTTCAGTTCTAGTTCAGTTCTAGTTCAGTTCTAGTTCAGTTCTAGTTCAGTTCTAGTTCAGTTCTAGTTCAGTTCTAGTTCAGTTCTAGTTCAGTTCTAGTTCAGTTCTAGTTCAGTTCTAGTTCAGTTCTAGTTCAGTTCTAGTTCAGTTCTAGTTCAGTTCTAGTTCAGTTCTAGTTCAGTTCTAGTTCAGTTCTAGTTCAGTTCTAGTTCAGTTCTAGTTCAGTTCTAGTTCAGTTCTAGTTCAGTTCTAGTTCAGTTCTAGTTCAGTTCTAGTTCAGTTCTAGTTCAGTTCTAGTTCAGTTCTAGTTCAGTTCTAGTTCAGTTCTAGTTCAGTTCTAGTTCTAGTTCAGTTCTAGTTCAGTTCTAGTTCAGTTCTAGTTCAGTTCTAGTTCAGTTCTAGTTCAGTTCTAGTTCAGTTCTAGTTCAGTTCTAGTTCAGTTCTAGTTCAGTTCTAGTTCAGTTCTAGTTCAGTTCTAGTTCAGTTCTAGTTCAGTTCTGGTTCAGTTCTAGTTCAGTTCTAGTTCAGTTCTTGTTCAATTTCCATTCTAGTTCAATTCTTGTTATCATCGCCGATATCAAGCAGAAGTGTAAAGTCCAAATGATCAAGAAATATGTCCGAACTATACATGTGCCAAATATTGAAATTTCTATTATAATTAATTAAAACAACATGGTCAAATTTGACATATTGCATTCAATAAACATCAAATCCTCAACAAAAGTTTTTCTTCGCCTCTTGCAAACATCAAATAATATTTTAAATCAATACAAGCTAAAAATATACACATTTTAATAAAAAAAAAACAAAACAAACATAAAGTTCAAATGTAAAACAAAACAAAAATTACCAACATTAAAATTCCAATAATGAGGAAAACAAACTTAAAATAAAATCTTCAAAAACGCCCCCAAAAAATGGAACATACAAAGTTCAAAAAAATCACTCTGTCTAATTTGATAATTTTTTTAGATATTCAAGTTTTTTTAAGAAATGTATTTATATTTATTTGTTTGAACAAGAACCGTTTCTTTTTTTATTTTTAAACTTCCTGTGTTGAACGAGCGCAAAGAAGTTCCAGAGTTCTGCATTCTGAACCGAAATAAAAACATCAAGTGAAAAATGTTTTGTAATTATTTTACCACATGGACATTTTAATGTTTTAATGTATTGTGTATTTTTAACTTAATATTTTTATATACGTTTTCATTATAAATTTAGTTCCCTTTAAGAGGAAAAAGCAAAATGTTTAAAAAAATCTATAGATATAAATAACATTTTCATTTAACTATAAAAAGAAATGCTAAAAATATCTAAGTGAATAGTATATTTATGATAAAAAAATCATGAAACCGATAAGAGACACAAATAAAAATACTATAATGTATTTATAAATAAAATACTTTTATTCAAATCATTTAAAATTTTATGGTTTTTTCATTTTTTTCGAAATAAAGTTATGACAAAGAAAAACATTTACAAAATTAGTTTGTTTTATTTATATTTAAAATTTTATTTACAGGTAAATAAAATTAGATATATTTTAGTTTAAAAGCTAATGGAAGATTTCGTTAAATACTTAAAAATTGTATACAAGAAATTATAAAAAATAATCTTTGGAAATTTGTTATTAGTAGTAGTTTTATATTCTAAATAATAATTTCGACTATTTGAGATCATCTCAAAATGTCTTTTAATTAAAGCTTTTTTTTTGTTGATAAATTAAATATAAATTTGGTATATCACTATGATGAAACAATTAAATTTTTTATTGTTTTTTGTTGGGTGGCAACAATCACCAGGGTCTCCAAACTTGTGAGTTATTTAAAGCTTGAGGCTCAAAAGCTCCATTTTCACGTAAACGTTTGCGTTCAAATATTTGTCGACGAATTTTTAATAAAATATCACGTTTACCCTGATTTTGTGGTTGATGTTGGTGGTGTTGTTGTTGCTGCTGTTGCTGATGGTGTTGGTAGTTAAAAATCTGCTGCTGCTGTTGTTGCTGTTGATGATGTTGTAAAGCACATGAGGTGACTGATGTTGTGGTATTTGATGAAATATTTAATGAATTTATATCAGGTGATAAACGTGTCGATAAAACTGTTGATGTTTTTTCTTCTTCACATTCATCATCTTCTTCATCTGTAAAATTTCTTTGTTGCTGCTGTTGCTGGTGTTGTAGTCTTTGTTTGTTTAGCAAAGGTAATGCTTCATTTTGATAAAAATCAACTTCATCGTCTTCGTTATCATTGTATTCATCCATGGCTTCAAATTGAAATTGTGTTTGTTTGGATTTTGTGAGTTTTTTGGGTGATTGTTGTTGTTTGTAGAGATTTTTCTAAATAATGAAATGATGAAAGCGGTAATGAGTTTCTGGTGCAAATTAATTAAATTAAGAGCTTAAGCGTTAATGGTTTGTTTGTCGATGATGTCAAGTTAAGTCGGGTATTTATGAACGTTTTTAGAGTTTCTTTGATGTTGGTTTTTTATTTAAATTGTTTCTTAAATTTGAATTATATAAATTGAAGTAGTTGAATGAAGTCTTTCCATCGACTGTACTATGTTATATCTTTAAGTTTGGCAACACTGTCGTAAAGTCACATGCAATCGTCATATGCAGAATATGGAAATTATGGAGTGTATTTCTGATAGAAAGATTCATTGATCATAATCGTCCTGATGCGATTGAAAGTAGATTTTGCTGAATGCAAATTGTCTGCTAAGATCAGGAGCCCATAAGTCAGAGTCGTAGATGGTTTGGCGATCTACAGCAAATCGGGAATCAAAATTAATCGGGAATTAAATATTTTTGAACATTGCGATTGGTTAAGATCGTGAATCTGGTTTTCTAAAGCTTTGAAGTTGTAGTTGAGGTAGATTTAAAGAAAATTACGGATGCAAGGTAAAAGTCAAGGATTCATAAAGCTTTCAAAAAAGCTCAGTATGTAAAATTAAAGTTTCCGGTTTACTAAGTCTACCAAAGAGAACTGAAGAGAAATTCAAATCAAATTAATGTTTGAAAGCTTTTAACAATATCAGTTTATAAGAGAAAATTGTTCATTAAATAAGCTTTCGACTTGATTGATATTTTAAAGCTTTTAACTAAATTCCTTAAGCTTTGCATAAAAACTTTGTATAAGTGATCAATTTTTCAATATTTTATTACAAAATAATTCGTTTTTTGAAAAAAATTCCTAGATTTTATCTTGGGTCCTATATTTGAACTTTAAGTATCTTTTAAACTTACATTTCTTTTCGATTTTTCTGCCAAAAATTTACACAGCTGTATAATATGTTCAGCCGTAAATTGTTTATCCAAATTTGAATCCATATTTTTATTACTTAAAACTTCTACTGATGAATCCTCTGCAACTGATTCCGTAGAATCGATGATATTGCCCTCTATAGTAATTAAACGATTGCGATCACTTTTCACATTAACATTAGTATGAGTGTTACTCAAATCCGTAGATAAATTTCTATGTTTCATTAATTTATACATAATACCCATTTGGTAAAAAATTTAAAATTTTTTTTTTTTTTTGGTAAAATTAAAATTTCACTTGTTTGGTTTAAATCAACAGCACTTTTATTCTATTTAACTAACAATTTCTCTTTTTTTCTAAAGTAATATTTCTTTTCTTTCAATTTATATTTTCTTTTTAAGAAATAAATTTTTGTTCCTTGTTGTGATGTTTACTCCTTCACTTGCCGTTTTATTATGATCATGTGATGTTTGTTTCATACGTCTTTATACTCAATGTTACATGTGTTTCTTTAACACCAAAAATGTTTTGTGTATTCTATCTTGCACTGACTGCTGCTGCACAATTTTCAATATCTTTACAATTTTTATCTGAAAATAAATTTCCCGCTTAAAATATGTTTTTAACTCCACTCCAATTCTATATAGAGAGTGTGTGTTCTTTTTTTGGAATAAAATGCTTCTTTTTTTATCATGTGTGTGAAAGTATTTAGTTTAGTTTGTTGGTTCTGGTTTATTTTTGGTTGCAGTTTTCATAATGTTGTTGCTGCTTGTGATTGCCATCATTGTTGGGAAACAAACCATGGAAACACATGTTTATTCTGTGTTCTGTTTATAAGGCTAAAAATAAACAAACTATTCATCGTAGAAATAATAAAAACATAATAATTTATAGTGCCACCATTAAAATTAATAATATGAAAATATTTATTTTTCTAATCCACTTTTGGTAATACTAGAATTTAAGCGAATTTTTAATACCCATATTAAAATTTCAATTTAATATAATTCATTATTAATTGGGTTATGTATTTAAGAGCTTAATGGTGTTATTGAGTAACTTAATAGCGATAAACTGGGATTTACTACATTCGCGTTATTATATTGGATTATAACAGTTAATTTTCAACACTTAATATTGTCGCAATTGTTTGCATTAATTGCATTCATTTAAATTGCAATGAGTGCATATTTTAAACAAATATTTATTATTTAAAATTTTCTACTATATATACTGTTCAGTTCAGCGAAATATATCGACTCAAATAAATATATTGTGTCGACTTCAATGGTTCTCGGTAATATATGAAATAATTTTGGAATCAAATTTTCCATTGATATTTTCTTATAATGAAAATATGTATATAACAAGAGTGTTCTTATTTCTTACCCCGATATCTTTTAAATTTTAAATCAAGTTTTTTATAAAACTTTCGTATTCCCAAACCAACTCAACAAAGTGTCTTCTAAGTTAGGATAGGAGAAAAATGCGATTGAGAAGACATTTCCATCCTAATAGTTTACATATGTAGATGCGAGAATAACCGGATCCCAAATGGTCAATTAAGATACATATAAAATTATGGCTTTCCCAATTTGGGCGATCTTGTGAATCCTGTGCTAACCGTGATATTGACATAGACCAATCAGCAGAATTCCGTTTCTTAGAGACTCTAAATTTTCGATCATATTCCATTCCATGGGGAATATGAATATAATTCCATGAAAAACTTAATAGTTTCATCATTTCCTATTCGAGAATGTTTCGTCTAAATTGGTTCAGGAAGTGAATGCATTGTGTTCTTTGGTACGATTAGTCTCGACATAAAATATAATTTGCTCTACTACAGGCTTGTAGGACCATACATAATTGTGAGAGATGAAAATTTATGTTTCCTTATATAGATTACGTAATGGGTAACTAGTTGATCCATAATCTCGAGATATTAAAATAGAATTATAATTACTGAAAGCACACTTTCCAGTGTACTTTGGGTACATTTCTTAAGTGTTAATAATGGATCAGCCGAATTTCGTTTCTTTTGACTCCAAATTATCCATCATATTCCATACCGTGGGGAATATGAATATAATTCGTGAAAAAACTTCAGTTCTTTCTAGTTTCTTTATTTCTTATACGAGAATCTTTCGTCTAAATCGGTTCTGGAAGTGAATGCATTGTGTTCTTTGGTACGATTTGTCTCGACATAAAATTTGCTCTACTACATAATTCTGAGAGCTGAACATTTCGGATTCCTTATATGGGTGATGTAATGGGTAAATGGTTGATCAATAAGCGGACTCAATTTTATTCAAAAGATTATATAGCATCTTCTCCCATTTATGTGAATGATCGCTCTTTATTTATCTAATAAGTTATGATAATAAATCGTGATGGATCTAACAATCTTTTTTCTAGCATGTTGACTTGATCCTCATTAAATGAAGTGGGTAGAAATATTTTCAACTGAATTCATACCGATTCAACTAGATTACACCTTATCCTCGAGATACTATGTAAATCGGTTACAAAAGTTGTTATCGCACTTCCTAGAGTGAAGGAATTTGTTAGCCTTCTCTGAGTAAGGCTGGTTATAAAAATATATCTATTTAAGTATCTTCTTAGTTGTTCACTTTTTTCAGTTATACCAAATAAGTACAAATAGTCTTAACAACTATAGTTTTCCAGATTTTCAAATATAAACAATATATAATTTTTCATATTTTTTCAGTGATTCATTTTTTAAAAAACTTCAAGTTATGTTTATGTCCCCTTTTATAACCCATTAAACAACAACAAAAACCCAGAAATCTTAGCAGCTCGATTTTTCAAATAAGTAATTCTCATCTTCAAACGAACAAAATAATTAACATATGGTTGAAATCAACTAAATAAACTAATAAAGAAAAGTGTACAAAACGAAGCATTGTGTGGGAAAAGAATTTCCACGAATTAATATTAAACAATTATACCCAGCAACAACAATAAACTGATAATAAAAGACAAGACTAAACAGCAATCTCAACATACAAATGCGCTTCATATAAGATTTTATGCACTGACAGCTTAAAAATGTTTCATTAAAAATCAAAAAATAACAACAACGACAACGACAAGAAAAAAAGGATACAATACTGCAGTTAATTGACAGACTTAAAACGCCCTTTAAACCCACTAGACACGCACAAGTACTTCAAGTATCACATACAAACATAACAACTACAACAACAAGAAGAACAAACAACAACCAGCGCTTATCTTAAAGTGTTAAAAGAACATTTAAACGAAAAGACAACAAAAAACTCAGATTGTTCTTTATGGACAAAAAGAGGAAAAATAAACAATTTATGGAAATTGAAAAACGAAAGTCATAAAATATCGCCAAAGATAAATAATACGAGTAATAAAAGAACAACAACAACAAATACAACATATAATGAATTGAAATGACAAGTAAAACTAGCTGAATGTATTTTGAAATAATATCAATATTTTTTTTTAAATGAATTTGAGATCTGAGCCTGAATTTGTGTAAGTATGTGTAAGTAAATAGTTAAAGGATAAGGCGACTTTAAGATTCACTATATTCAAAAAACTCTTTTAATGGAGGGGGAAGAATGCGAAAAAAAAATTTTCGACAATTTCTTTTTTTCGAAAGACAGCATTTTTATCTGACCTGAAGACAAAGAGAACTTATTAGACGAAGGCAAATTATTCTAAATTCTGTAGATTATAAAGTTAACTTTTATGAAATTCATAGTGGTTGGCACTATAAGCAAATTGGTTGTGGTTGGACCCAAATCGCGGGAAGATATTGAGGTATAAGACAACAGACCCTCAGAAGATTGACTATGGGCTTGAATGTTGGAAATTATTTTATAGCTAATGAGTGGTATTCGAGATATGTACACCCTTAATGAATGAATGTGTCAGATGTTTTACCCTTGAAAGAGTTGTATGGTGGTTGAATGGTAATGGATATATTGTATCCTACTCAAGTGTTATCAATAAAATATCTTCTTTGTCCTGATATATAAATACAAGACTTACTGCAATGTGTCACCTGTGAGTAAGAACGTGTCTTTGCTTATTTGATGGAAATATACTTCGGTCAACCGATCAGATTTTTAGGTTATGTTCCCAAATTAAAAGAGGCTTTTATAAGGAATAAAGTTGCATGATTGTGAACAAAAGTGAGTTCTGAAGCATCATTGAAATAGCGGTTATATCAAAAGTACTCGTACAAAGTGCTTGTACATGGTCCACCTCTGGACTGATAGACTAGAGTAAGTTCGCACATGTATAAAACGTAACTGTTTTCTCAGCCCCTCTCTCTCTGTCAAATTCCCTAATATGTCGTATATAAGAGAGCTAGGGTCGAGACTTGATTAACTTTAGTTTCTTCTGCTAGTTTTCAATTATTTGGGACTAAGACTAAGTAAATTCATCATGATCATGTTATTCAACGTTTAAAGGAGAAAAGGGGTGCTACCAATGTCTCTACACTACCGGGACTATAAACTGGTGATGATCAAATGTATTCTCGGCATTTTCTGGGAATGATTTGGTATGGTGCTCTGGACCAGATAATCTGGTACTACAGGTGGTCCTTTGCCCGCAGTACTTTGTCCTGGATAGCCAGTTGCTTGAGGTTCCTTTGTAGTTTAAACCCAAATTCGCGGGAAAGGACGCTTGGTTATAGGATTGGTACATGGTGAAATATAATTTTCGTGATAAGTTTATGTTACCGCTCCTTGTTTCTAAGAGCGTTACAATCTATAGGATAAGGCTGTGGATTAACGAAATTTTGGATTTGAACTGATAATGCAAATATTGTGTATGAGTTGGTATGCGATGTAACATTGAATACTTATATGTGATAGATCACAGGGATTCTGAGTATTTTTGAGGTGTGACGGATGGAGTGAGATGTTAGGAGGAGATGAGTGTTAATACCATAATCTTTAATTTATCGGCGATTTTCCTTAATGGTTGAGTTTTTTGAAGTTTACACTAGAACATGCTCAACTTATCACATCAGGGCCTTGTGGCCACTGAAATAAGTATTGTCAATAGGTCCTGTTGCATCAGAGCCATCTCAGTAGTGTGGTTGTGGACTTTAGAAGATTAAGGAATGCACTGGAGTGAGTGCTTAGATGATGAGAATATTATAGGGAAATAAGCACTCCTTATGACATCAATAGCGTTTGATGTTGGGTACTCCAATTCTATTGACTCTAAACTA